TGTCTCTTGCAAAACAGTTGGTGGGTTTGAACCGTCGACCTCAAAATTAGCGGGCCAACACTTAACCCACTGTGCCCCCAAGGCTCCCTATGAGGAGTCAACGAGGGGGAAGCTCTAAGTGGGACATTTGAGAGCAGAGGACTCTTCAGATGCTTATGTTTATCTGACATTTCAATTCATGAAAGATTATAAATTAAGACACAGACTTTCTTAAGCGTTTACATTTAATTTACATAACTTGGTCTTCTGTCTGAAATCCAGTAACTTTTGTATAAAAGCAAGAACAATTACGTGCTCTTTGATTAATGTTCAATTAGCCCACGGGCTTGACATATTAAATTTACTTGAACATGACTCATGCCATTTACAAACTTAGTTAATTAAATTCTCTTAAATATTTAAACTACACTTACAAACTTAATCTACTTGATTTTCCCAAGCACTTAAAATTCCTCATAGAGATTTATAAGCCAAACAAGCAGAAATCTTGTTTGCCGTGTAAATAACGCTCATAAACCTAATAATTCACACCTTCAAATAAGGCAAATGAAGACATTTAAAAAATTCTAATGCTGTTTACAAACATAATCAAATTACCTACACTTTCAAGCTCTAAAACAGAAGTCTAGGATAAGTTACACAATTTAATTTGAAATCGCAAGACTGATCCGTCAGCTTCTCTCATATTCCAACTGCTCTTAACTATTGTAGACACATTCAAAAACAAAAACAAAAATAAGATCCCAACTTTCCCAAAACATTTTCCAAATCTGTGCACAAACAGATTTATTTTGTTTCCTTTCTACACCCCTTCACGAGGTGGCAGAGTGAAAGAAGTCCTGTTCGTGCCTTCCTCCCCTTATTCTACCATCCTCTTATGAATATGCTAGCACACAAAAAGTCTGACCTTTGCCCTTACAAATGTTAACTTGGACTTAAACAAAACTATCGTACTTCTCTGTTCTACTTCTGGAAAATTGGCCAGTGAAAATCTGACGCATAACAGCATCAGCTTGTCTGATCTAGTAGCCTGCACGATGAGCCCCCCAGATTGGAAAGCACTCAAAACCTAAGCAGGAGCTGCGTCTTCAAAGTCGAGACAACCTTAATGATGTGCATCATCCAGCTTTGAGGCCCGGCGTGTGCCGATGGGGCTTACTCACAGTGAGAAGAAAGCGCTGCAAACATACTTTACTCATCAGAGCATGCAGTGTCCTGAGGAGGAATCGGGGAATACCATAAACAATGGAATGGAATGAATAAAAACGGACATGCTAACCATTCGTGAGCTGAAACAGCCGGGGATGAGCCATGTTGAATCCGACAAACACCCACTGTGCTGGAAGTGACAAATTGAAGAGGAACCGTGTCACATTTATTGTTAGAAAGAGCTTTTCAAGATCTGTCCTGAAGCACAATGCTGTCCGTGATGAGAGAGTATCAATCAGAACACCTACGAGCGAGCGAGACCAGTCCTAGGACCATTGTTCAAATTGACGTCTTTGCCAAAGACGGAGCAATGGGAGCTTCTTGTCATCTTCTGCGGTCTGAAATGGACCCAACACGCAGGGGAGATGCACTGATAGTTACGGGGGATTGGAGAGGGAAAGTTGGGAACAGAGAAGAATGGTTAGCTAGACAAGGTGGTCTTGGTGATAGAAAGGATGGAATTTTTCAAAAGCAGTGACATATTCACAGGAAATAACTTTTCCAGCAACATCAACAGCGCCCATCCATGTGGACCTTCTGCACAGGAGCCACTGGTACGGTCACGGCAGTGGGCTCCCACCTCGCAACGGCTGGCTTGGCATGCTTCCCGTGCAGTTGTGCATTGATTGGGTTGCAGTGTGTGGGAGCCAACCGGATGGTGCCCACCAATAAGAGACTATCGATGGCTCTGGGCTGACCATCTATGCGAAGAAACAAAATCTTATCAGCGTGGACCACTCCCTTCTGCATGACGGGCTGGAACCTGCTCCACGGTACACCCCCGCACTGCACTGAGCAGTTCCCGGTCACCTGATCTTTATAGCAGCAGTGCTCCACCTTTCTCAGGCTGCGACCCTTTCATCCAGTTCCTCATGCTGGGTGACCCCCCCCCCCAAACATAAAATTATTTCCGTTGCTACTTCATCCCTGTCATTTTGCTACTGTTATGAATCAGGCGACCCCTGTGAAAGGGTCATTCGACCCCACTCCCAAAGGGGTCGCAACCCTCAGGTTGAGAACCTCTGAGTTAAAGGTTGACAATTTGAACTGTCCAGTGAAAGAATGACCTAGCAAGGTGCTTCGGTGAAGATGACAGCCGAGAAGCCTACGGGCAGGTCTAGTCTGTAACACGTAGGGTCGGCGAGTCCGGGGCTGACGCGATGCCAGCCAACAGCAACGTGCTGTGCCCCCTCCCTTTCCTGTTGTAACTCCCTTTCAGCGACACTTCTTTGGCTTCATGATAACCCCCTGCTTCAGAGAGCTGTAGACTACAAAGAGATGCTGCTCATCTCTGTTGCCCAACCCCATATTCAGGGCAGGGGAGAGTCGCGTCTGTGATGTCCGCTGCTGCAGCTCTCAGGTGCCTCCTTGCTCAGAAAGTCCACTTTTGCCCATGTTTGTCCATCGCCTGCCCTGGGCCCGGGGAGCCTGCCCCTGTACCAGAGCACAATGTATTCTGCGCTGACGTCGTTGGAGTGCTCCAATGCCAGGGCTCGTGTGGTCTGATTAAAGAAGCCCTGGTGGCACAGTGGTGACAACACTCGCTTGCTAACCAACCAAAATGTCAGTGGTTCAGTCCGTCACTCAGTCTATGGGAGCAGGCTGAGGCAGGCTGCTTCCACAGGGATTCCATGACAGCTCTGGACAAAACCCTACGGGCAGTTCTGCAGGGTCACCACGAGTCAGAATCAACTGGATGATAGATAAAAAATATACACACACACATATATAAATCATCTGGTAGGCCCAGTTCCTCCTCCTTTCCCACCCTTGGTTTTATTTTTAATCTCAGGAGCTGAGGTTCACCTTGAACATGTCTGACAATCGGCAAAACTGACCTAGGAGAAGCTGCGCTTGGCTGCTTTTCCTGGTCCCTGACCTTTGAACACTCCCAGCAATCTTCAGTAACTCCATTCATGTACAGACACACAGGATTATAAATATCCGCTCTGCTCAGAAGGAAATAAATCCCCGTTTTACAGGAGTCTTGGATCGGGGCTAGCTGGAGCAGGAGATGGTGGCCCCATGTGCCTAATGTAGCTAAGGCATCCACGTTGGTGCTTGCTCTTCCGGTAGCTGGGTCATAAAAAACCTGTTCAAACAATTTAGTGGGTGGTTCAGGCAGATGAAAATTCCTTCCCCCCAATTAAAGGGTTTGGATGGCTACCCGAAGGCCTCAAGCTGTCTTCAGGCATGGAAAACTGCAACTCCATTGAGGGTCAAACTGTGGGTAGGGATGCAGGTTGGCACCACAAGAGGCCGATCCGCACCGCAAGGGCAGGTGCCCAGGCTGAAAGTGCAGAACTGTCAGGTGACAGCGGAGCGCTGCTGGCAGCACCGGGGCTGGACCGCCCCAGGACTCCCTTCTGATTTTGGGGGGAATGAAGCCATTGGCCTTTACTGTCCTAGTATCTCCAGAACTCCCCTGTTCTTCTTGAGCCCCATCACCCCTGCCTTAGAACTTCTCACTCCCAGGTTGCCACACCTGCGCCCCCCACCCCCTGGGCTAGGTTTCAGGTAGCTTCATGCTGGCACGGTGGTGGGCGGAGTGGGGGCGCCCCGGCCAAGCCTTGGGGCTCCCCTCGCCTGGCGTGCCAGCGCCCTTCTTAGAGGGGCAGAGTAAACCGCGCCTCCTGCCCCCGCGCACCCCCCTCCTTCCCGCTCTCACCGGCGGTTCCCACCCTTAAACCCGGTGGTGGGCGGGGCAAAGGGGAGCCCAGGCCCCGCCCACGAAAGGGCACGCGTGCGTGCCCGACGCCGCCGCGGCCATCTTAAGCCCGGGCACCCGCGCCCCTCCAGCCTCCTGGGGCGGAGACCGGTGAGCCTGCACTCCCCGTGGCACCCTGCGGGTCTGTGCCCCCTGGGGAAGGTGTCTCCACTGCCCCCAGCCCCTTCACTTCTTCTAGAACCTCCAGCCCATATTGTGGTGGCCAGTGCCAGCTCCTCCGCCCAGCAGCCACCCAGGCAATTCGGTGTCTTTGCTATTGGTCCAGGGGAAGTTTGCGGCCCCCAAGGTCATCAGGGTGACCGGTTCATAGACCTACTGCTCAGGCATCTGTGATGAATTCTTAGCACCAGGCCTGGCACGCCGTGTGGCTAATCAACTGCGTGCGGAGTGCAACCACCTGGCCTTTGAGTACCTGCCTCCCTCTGGGTAGAACAGGTCGGAGGGGCAGGGGTGGGTGGGCGAGCCGGCCCTCAGGGCCCCAGAGAGTGGAGCTTGTGCGAGGCTGGGAAGCTGCACGTGACCATTTTGGAAGGGCGTCAGCGGCACAGACCAGGGGCTGGGCTCGGAAAGGCTTTGTACATCTTGGAACATTCAAACGCCCCCATGCGTGTTATTTTTATCACCCCTGGCTGCATCCCCACAGGGACTCCCATGCAGCATCAAACCCCTAGAATGAAAAGCCCCGTTTGTGTGTTCGCTGTGGGGGACCACAGGAAGGGGAAGCTAGGACACTGTGTCCCAGGGGGAGCTAGGTGTGGGGGAGAAGGCCTTTGGGGCCAGTGTGGGTGGCGGGCCCCAGGGAGTGAGGGAGAGAGGATGAATTTAGGCCAGTCATGTGGTGGTTTGCCCCACCCGCTGTGGGTCCAGTGTCCAGAGCCTGGGGTCCCCGACTTCCTAAGGGGAAAGGGGAGAGGTGTATGGCCTATGAGCTAGAGGAGGTGGAGAAGACCCCAGGAGCACCACACCCAGCCCCTTGAAGGGAGGCCCATTTGAAGATCTGAGTTCATAATAAACCAGCTAAATGTCAGGGGTGTCTGAATTCCCCACAACAGCGGCCAGCAGGGGAGGGATTGCACAGTTTATTTTCAAACACAGAGGGTGAGGGAGTTCTATCAACACCACCCCCCTTTCGAACCCCTACCCCCCCATACATTTGGTTTAACTAAGGACTTCTCAGTCCTCCGTTGTCTGGGCAGACAGGGCATTCTCCCACCCCCAGCAGCAGCTGAGGCAGGAGAGGAGGAGTGGGGTGGGGGTTGGGGGTAGGGTTCAAGTATTCACAGTCCACCCTCCACCCCCACCCCCACATTACACTGTGCCCCGGCCTTGCGGGAGAGGGGCCCACTCTGGGGCTCTGTGTCAGTTCTAGCCCTTGTCCCACTGAGAAACCTCAAGATGAGCTCCCTGCCCATTTCCCGCCAGCACTGCACCCCTGTCCTGAACACGGGCCCCTGCCTTCCTAGCCTGCAGAGGCAGGAGGGGCCTCCTCGGCCTTTACTGGTAGTGAATAGGGTGGGAGCAGGCATTTATCAGGCGAGGGGTGGGGGAGATAGACCCCCTCGGGAGGCAGGGCTTGGAAGGTCCTGATAGAGAGTTAGACAGCTCTTGTCTGCACCATTGCCTCAGCCCAGCCCACCCCAGGCCCAGAATCCCTGAGAGTCTAACCAAAAGGGCAGTACGGGATGGGGGTGGGGGAGAGCACTGAATTCGACCCCAGACTCAGGGCTGTGGTGTGTAGGGAGGGCCAGGCCTGAGATATCACCCCAGCAATCAAGATGACTCTTGGGGACACGGGGCAGGCCTGCTGGCTCCCACTCCCCAGCTGCTCTGGCCTGGAACAGTGGTAGGAATGGTCGGGGGTTAGGGGGTGGTGTGGGGATGGTATCTCCCAAAGGCATTTTTTTTTTTCCTAAGAAAGTAAAACAATTTAAAAACGTGTCTCCCAACCTTTTGACTCTCCAGGACACCAGCCGCCCCCCGACCCTCCCCAGCATTCAGGATCCCCGAGAACTGTGGGAGGAGGTGCTGGCTCACTCTGACAGGATGGGACCCAGAGAGGGGGCCCCACTAGCACCATGCAGTCTTGGGGATTCCTGAAGCTTGGCTGGCCCCCCACAACCCCAGCTGGAGTGTTCACGCACCAAAGCTATGGTACTCTTAGAGAGTGAGCCCTGCAGGGGGAGGAGAAGGGGCAGGCGGGCGGGCAGGGGGAGGGAAGAAGGCTTGCAGTCCAGGCAGGAGTCTCAGCTGGGACCCCAGAATTTCCGTACCACATACTGGCCCAGCAGCACCACAGCCAGAACGATCAGCACGTTCCGGATGGGGCCGTTGCCTAGGTCCAGGGCTGCCACCTGCGGGGAGAGACGGGGCGGTCACAGAGGGCTTGTCAGAATGCCCGCCCCGTGCCCACCTTGGGATGGGGTGAGTCTGGGAGGCCCGCCCTGGGGGCACTCACCCAGCCGCCCCGCTGTGCGATCCACCGGGCGATGTAGTGGTTCAGCATGAAGTCCACCACGAAGCGGGTCACCTGGCCCAGGAAGCCGGTTAGGCCGTGCTGGTAGACGTGCAGCGCCAGGCGATAGCCAAAGCCCAGGAGAGCCACCACACGGCCCCAGTTGATGCCGCTCTCAAACAGGCTGTGGGCAGAGCATCCGCTGTGTCTGTCGGTGACCCCTGGGAGACCACAGCCTGCTAGGAATCCC